ACTGGGCACTTGGTATGGGGTTGAGTTGTCTGTGGAGTATTATGGTATCTCCTCTGAAGTAAAAGGCTGTACCTTCCACTGCCTACCACTAAGAAAGGCACCAAGCTGGGCTTGTGTGGATTTTGGATTTGACACATGCCATTTTTGGGTGCGCTGCTCCAATCCATTATTGAAACCTAGAGGCAGTTAGTTTTTGTTTGTTTTGTTTTTTTCAGTCTTGCTCTGTCGCCCAGGCTGGAGTGCAGTGGTGCAATCTTGGCTCACTGCAACCTCCAACTCCTGGGTTCAAGCGATTCTCCCACCTCAGCCTCCTGAGTAGCTGGGATTACAGGCACCTGCCACCAAACCTGGCTAATTTTTTATTTTTAGTAGAGACCGGGTTTCTCCATGTTGGACCAGGCTGGTCTCAAACTCCTGACCTCAGGTGATCCACCGGCCTTGGCCTTCCAAAGTGCTGGGATTACAGGCGTGAGCCACCACGCCTGGCCTGAGGCTGTTTGTTTGAAGCGGGATCTGGACGATAGAAGACCTGCAGCTTTGATGCAAGCTGTCCTCCTGCTCAGGATTTATGACCTCGAAGTTTCAATGATGCTTAAAGGGTCTTTGCAATTGAGGGTGCCTGGGTGGTACTCCAGGATAAAGTTCCATTAGAACAGCCCCCCAGAGGATTTTATTTTTGTTGAGACAGGGTCACACTCTGTTGGAGTGCATTGGCACAATCACGGCTCACAACAGCATCAACCTCTTGGGCTCAAGTGATCCTCCCACCTCAGCCGCCTGAGTAGAGACTACAGAGGTGCAGCACCACGTCCAGCCGGCCAATTTTTTTATTTTTGTAGAAACAAGGTCTTACTATGTTGTCCAGGCTGATCTCGAACTCTTGGGCTCAAGACCCCCAGGGATTTGAAGTAAAGCTTTGCTTTTGGCTAGCAACTCATTCGCCTTTTGAAAAGGAACATCTGAGGCTGGGCACGGTGGCTCATACCTGTAATCGCAGCACTTTGGGAGGCCAAAGTGGGTGCATCATGAGGTCAGGATTTTAAGACCAGCCTGCCAAGATGGTGAAACCTCGTCTCTACTAAATTAGCCAGGTGTGGTGGCGTGTGCCTGTAATCCCAGCTACTCACAAGGCTGAGGCAGGAGAATCGCTTGAACCCCGACAGCAGAGGTTGCAGTGAGCTGAGATCGTGCCACTCCAGCCTGGGCTACAGAACAAGACTCCATCTCAAGGGAAAAAAAAAAAACAGCAGCAACATCAACATCTGACTTGTTCCTGGGTTCTGGCAGAGAACAGACACCTGCGTATGGGATATGCTGTTTGAATGTGTGCCCCAAATTTCATGTTTTGGAAATTCCATCTCCCCAGGTGGTAGTATAGAAGTATTGAAAGGTGGGGCCAGCTGGGTGCAGTGGCTCACACCTGTAACCCCTGCACTTTGAGACTCCATTTAAAAAAAAAAAAAGGAAAAAAAAAGGTGGGGCCTTTAGGAGGTGATTGGATTGGCTGGACGCAGTGGCTCACTAATCCCAGCACCTTGGGAGGCTGAGTCAGGCAGATCAGAAGGTCAGGAGATCGAGACCATTGTGACACGGTGAAACCCTGTCTACTAAAAATATGAAAAATTAGCCAGGTGTGATGGTGTGCGCCTGTAATCTCAGCTACTTGGGAGGCAGAGGTTGCAGTGAATGGAGATCGCACCACTCTGCACTCCAGCCAGAATGAGACTCCTCCTCAAAAAGAAAAAGAAGTGACTGGATCATGAGTGGATTAATGAGTTATCGTGGTAGTGGAGTGGGTGACTTTATAGGAAGAGACCTGGGCTAACGTGCAGTGCCCTTGCCTTGTGATGCCACCTGGGACTCTGCACAGAGGCTTTCATCAGTGTGTCCCTGGACCTTGGACTTTTTTTTGTTTTGAGACAAAAGAGTCTTGCTCTGTCACCCAGCCTGGAGTGCAGTGGCGTAATCTCAGCTCACTGCAGTGAGTGGAGTGGACGATGCAAAGGCCCCCTGAAGGTGCAATGATGATGCCAGACGGAAGACAACACCCTGTCAGTACGGAGCGCTACGATACAAGGTGTTGCAAAGGCTTCGCAGGAACACTAGGTCATGCCGCTTCTCCCACAGACAGCATATGCTGGTGGGAAACATAAGGGCTGCTGATAGGAATGGCACCAAATAACCCCAGGAGCAATTTTTTTGCTTCTCCTAACTGAATTCTGTTGTCCCAAGGGAGGACTGCTTCTACCATATGACAGTGGTGCCTTTGAACTAGCAGTTGAGACTGCTGCCTGAGCCAGCGCGCAGGGATGGGGCGATGTCAACTGTTGGGGGAAACTGGGTGGCTCGTATGCAACGAAAATGGGAGCATCTCTATCTGCAATCCAGTGTCTTCACTGGCACCTTTTGGTACTGACTGACGACTTCCAGGTTCACTCGTGAAAGAAGAGTCCTCTAAAGAAAAGACCATTAAGGCCTCAGATCTTTCAGGAAGGAGGTTTCAGGCACCCTGAGGTGCTGCCAGGACCAGAAAACAAGGACTAGGTGATGGATGAAGGCAGGAGTATCAACTAGAGCTCATGACAAGTTGCAAAAACAACTGTAGCATTTTAAACTTCAGGGAATACACTGATCACTTCCCCCTTCCTAATTTTATATTATTTTATTCGTGCATTAACTTTAAGTCAACAAACCGCTTGTTTGTTGGGCTGCCCCAGTCCTGAAGAAGTCTGTATTACCTGAGGCGCCTGGACCACGGAGAGATGCCCCATGGGCCCTGGGGCAAGGGCTAGAATATCTTCTATCACATGAGTATTTGCCTCTCATCAGGCAGGTGCATGAAATTACTTTTCTTTGAGACGGAGTCTCGCTCCGTCACACAGGCTGGAGTGCAGTGGCACAATCTTGGCTCACAGCAATCTTCGCCTCCCAGGTTCAAGTGATTCTCCTGCCTCAGCCTCCTGACTAGCTGTGATTACAGGCATGTGCTACCATGCCCGGCTAATTTTTTGTTTTTAGTAGAGATGGGGTTTCACCATGTTAGCCAGGAATGTCTCCATCTCCTGACCTCGTGATCTGCCTGCCTTGGCCTCCCAAAGTGCTGGGTTTACAGGTATGAGCCACTGCACTCGGAGAATAATTTTTTTTGACAGAGTCTTGCTCTGTGGCCCAGGCTGGAGTGCACTGGCGCAGCATAAGCTCACTGCAACCTCCGTCTCCTGGGTTCAAGCAATTCTCCTGCCTTAGCCTCCTGAGTAGCTGGGATTATAGGTGTGCACCACCACCCCTCGATAATTTTTGTATTTTTAGTAGAGGTCGGGTTTCATCATGTTGGTCAGGCTGGTCTTGAACTCCTGACCTATTGATCCACCCGCCTCCGCCTCCCAAAGTCCTGGGATTACAGGTGTGAGCCACCGCACCCAGCCTACCCACTAAATTTAATATTTAAAAAAGATTTTGCCATGTTTACTTCATATACATTTGTGCATGGGATTACAGGTGTGAGCCACCGCACCCAGCCTACCCACTAAATTTAATATTTAAAAAAGATTTTGCATGTTTACTTCATATACATTTGTGCATTTTTTAAGGTTAAACAGCCATATCATATACAACTTCAAAGCAAATTGTATACGATATGGCTGTTTAACCTTAAATAATTCAGCATACAACCCCTAAGGGAATCACTCTCTTACATAACCATCAAATTAACAATCCTCCTAGAATCTATCCAGTACAGAATCAGATTTACCCAGTTAGCCCCCCAAAATCTCTTAAGTTGCTCCCTCCCAAGTTGGCCTTTGTGCATTGCCTCTGGTGACAGCTCCTTGGCTACTTTAACCTAGAGCAGGCACCTCACATTCGCCTTCCCACCGTCTCTGATTAAACTAGGGCAGTTAACTGTAGAATATCCCGTGTTTGTCTTTTTTCTCATCGTTTCATTTGATTTTATTCCTCCTTCAATAAACTGTTAAGTTAGGGCTGGGCACAGTGCCTTCAGCCTGTATTCCCAGCACTTTGGGATGACAAGGCAAAGGAGGATCACTTGAAGCTAGGGGTTCAAGACCAGCGTGGGCAACAGAATGAGACCCCCGTCTCTACTTAAAATAAAATGAGTGTGGCAGTGTGTGCCTGTGGTCCCAGCTACTCGGGAGACTAAGGCAACAGGGCTGCTTGAGCCAGAAGCTTGAGACTAGGCTGGGAAACGAAGTGAAACCCTGCCTACATGTAGAAGAAATACAAAAATTAGTGCCAGGCGTGGTGGTACGTACCTTAGTCCCAACTACTCTGGAGGCTAAGCAGGAGGATCGCTGGGGCTCTGGAGGTCAAGGCGGCAGTGTGAGTTGTGACCACGCCACTGCACTTCAGCCTGGGTGACAGAGCAAGGCCCCGTCTCCAAAAATTATAATTTTATACCCGTCAAGCACATTTTTGGGTAAAGGGTCCTTGGCTAGGTATTACTGTCTAGTCCGAGTATGAATGAAACATAAAAAAGCATGGCTGGCTGGGCGCGGTGGCTCATGTTTGTAATCCTAGCACCTCAGGAGGCCGAGGAAGATGGATCATTAGAGGTCAGGAGTTCGAAACCAGCCTCGTCAACATGGTGAAACTCCGTCTCTACTAAAAATAAAAACGTTAGCCAGGTGTGGTGGTGCGCACCTGTAATCCCAGCTACTCGGGAGGCTGAGGTAGGAGAATTGCTTGAGTCTGGGAGGTGGAGGTTGCAGTGAACAGAGATCGCGTCATTTACTCCAGCCTGGGCAACAGAGTTAGACTCCCTCTTAAAGAAATAAAAATAAAAATAAATAAAAAAAGCACGGCCATGAGAGGTGGATACATAGTGGGAGCATCTTAAAAAGGTAAGAAACCAAGTGAGCACAAACAGCAGGCACACAGCCATTCAAAAATGCTTTAAGTTCCACGGAAAATGTCTGGCTTATGTCTGTTTTATTTTTTAGCCAGTGAGAAAAGCAAACTGGATAAAATGAAAATACAAGGGCTATTCATAAACAAAACAGTGATTAAATTTTATTCCTTTTGGGTTGTTTTGTTCTTATTTTTAAGTGAAGTTTCCATCTGTACACTTTAAGAAAATAAACACAACAACAGGAAGCTTCTCTATGGGTCCATCCTGGAGGCAGGAAGGATGGGTCTGCTGACAGGCACACGGCAGCACAGCCAGCGTCGTGTTACCTCACGAAGGTCACGTGCCTGAAACACACGAAGGGTTCCACGGAAAACACTCCAACTGGCTGTGCAGCCATGCATCAAGGTGAGGACAAGTACTTAATTCAAGGCATCTGGGGGCTGGTGTCATGGCACGTGCAGAGTAGTGCCCATGCCATCCCATGAGCTTCTGTGGGAAAAGGGAAAAACAAATCTTTTCCTCAAACAGAATTGTCACAGGTTAAGAGCCACAGGATTTTATTCACTGTTTAATCTTCTGGTGGCAGGATTTCTTTGAAATAGAATCTGCAAATAAATAAAAATGAGGCAGCAAATTTGTTAAAAGGCTTCACACATCTTTTGAAAAGAATTTCACAATTTTGAAACACTATCACTGAATTCATGTAAATTTTGGTAAAAATATGAATTATACCATGGTTTAAAGTATGATATTTAAGAAACACTGAACAAATTATATCCTGGTCAAAATACAATCTTTATGTTTGCTATCAATTTAAGAGAAAGGACAAAAAAGTCCAGACAGTGATTAAGTCAAACTGACCCCAGCACATAATAGTGCACTGGCTTATACTTTTGTGATAGTCTTCACTTATAACTGATATTTGAATGCTGTGAAACTGACTGTCCAGACCGAAACTCAGTTACCACGCTGAACAGTAGCCAGCTTTCGATGGGCCCTCCATGTCCAGGGTACAGTGACGATGCCCAATAAACACCCAGCGAGGACCTGCATTACCTGCTATCGCCCCGCTGAGCCTTTGCTGGATCACTTCTAAATGGTGAATATACTCTGTCAAGGAATGTTCTGGATCTTGAGAAGTGGTCAGAGATCTTTCTAATCTTGAATTTGGGGATGGAGTGGCCCTTCAAACAAATTACCACCAAGGGAAGAAAAAAAAATGTTGAGTTTGACAGAGTCATGGTGAGTGAGTGTGGAAGAAAGGTGCCAGCCCCGCCTGCCAGCCCTGTGGGGATGGGCGACTCCGGGATGTTTCCTTCAGGTCTTTCCTTATAAAAAGTGCTAGAGTGCTTTAAAAGCCACCTTCTGTGCAATGTTCCAGAGTATAGACTATTGCATATTATTTTGCTAAATCTTTGACGATGTACCTGCTACCCAATGTGGATTATGCACCAGGTCCCACCTGCCTTTCCTGATCTTCCAGAACTGTTTTCTTTGTCTAGGGTGATACCTGCCCTGCTCAGGCCTCACCTCAGCCGTCCTTCCTCCCAGCCTTCTACCGGGCCCAGGGAACACCAGGGGTTTCACTTTTCCCTCTCCACCCAGAGCTTCCAAGTATCATCAGGGCAGGGAACATGCCTTCTTCACCTGGCACATCCCTCACAAAAGTGGCCCTCAGCCACCATAACCACTGTCACTAAAGATCACAGCACCAGGCTCTGGGGGACCAGAGCCACCAGACAGAAAAGCCGGGTCATCCCCCAAAACAAGAAGGACTTCTAGGCCCTCAAGGATTCACGCCGGAGTTTCCTCCCTTGCTCTGGGCTGGGCCAAAGCCAGAACTTTAAAAGATATATTTCCCTGAGAACCTATGTAGGCTGGAGGAAGAGCACTGGCAGGACAAAGACCTGAAGACATCACCACTGACCTTCCCCCACTGTGCGGGGAGGCTGCTCCTGCCAGTCCATGGCCTCTGGCGGGGTCCCTGGCGTGGCCCAAGGGCACATCCCGGGTTGGGGGGGACTCTCTGGTTCTGGGTGGAGACTGCTGTGGCCGTCGGGTTCGGGGTCCTTTCCCAGAATTATTTCACGACAAAGGGATTAGGAAAAGAAATGAATGCATTTTAGTAAAGGCCCAGCTATCAAAATTGTAAATGTATAGACTTTTAAGAGTCTGTATGGCAATTCTGAGACATTTTTAAAAGTACACAGGTTAAATATTATCTTTTTAAAAGCTTGTAAGAAACCTGAGCTTTGATTATCTGCATCCACAGGGGCAGGCCATCTCTAGGAAGTGCGAGGGGTCTCAGTTAAGACCTGCGTGGGGGTCCTGTCGGTTCTGAGAGCTGGCTGAGGAGGAAGGAGGGGAAGGAACCCTGGAGACCACCAGGTGTGACTCAGAGGGGCAAACTTTCCTGATGACCAGAATGCTGAAGAATCAAAGCATGTTAATTCCAAGAAGCAACTATTAAAATGTGGAAGTCGAAACTGATTATAGCTGCCAGGCACAGTGCTCAGGCTACAGTCCCAAGTACTCAGGAGGATGAGGAGGGAGGATGCTTGGGCCCAGGAGTTCAAGGCTGCAGTGAACTGTCACTGTATCACTGCACTTGAGCCTGGGTGACAGAGCAAGCCCGTCTCTAGACAACAACAACTTGGGAGAGGCACTTCCAGGAACGCCCAGTCCCGGTGGCGGTTGGCAGCAGCTCAGGCAGCTCAAGCCCCACAGGCCCAGGGAGCTGCACGCCCACCCTGCGTTCTCTGCACACGAGGCCTGTCACTCTGGGACAAGAGCCCCTGGAAATGCCCTGCTTTGGAGCCGGATCCTTCGGCGCTAGTGCAGCCAGCTGTGCTCTCTGCTGTGGGGGGCAACAAGACCAAGAAGTGAATGAGCCGGCAATAAGCATGACACTCTACAAGGAACGAGGCGGTGGCGTGAAGTGAGTTCAGCCGCTCTGGGGAATAAACGCCATTTCGCTAACCACCATCAAAGAATCTACACACTGAGCATCTCGGGGTTTCCCACTGCCGCACGCCCCCATGAACCACGTTCACAGTGAACGCAAGCCTTGACCTCCCTGTACCGGGCACACCCTGCCTCTGGACCATGGCCTGATGAATTCATGGATTCTCTTACCGTGCTTATTACATCCCCAGAAACACGGAAAAATGGCCCAAAAGTTAATGAAAACGCTACAAGGAGTAGGAAGCAAGGTCTGTGGTCCAGCTGTTACTGGGGCGGGAGCCTCACCTGGGCGAGGGGCTCTGCCTTGTGCCAGGGCTCCTTTCCGATCTACTTCTTGCCATTTCTTAACCAAAAAACGCAATCTACAGAAAAAGGAGACAAGACACACTTAAAAGTACAACAAAACAGGAAGGGAAAGAGCAACGAAAACCCACCGCGATCAAACACGCAGCATGGGCCCTCACTGCCCACCAGGACCAGGACGCTGAAGTCAGCCAGTCTGTTCACTCGGGCCTGGCTGCCTGGTGCACGCATCCAAAGCGCTGGCGGGGCTGCCGGTGATGGAGACCTTCCCACGCACGACCACCTGACAAAGCCTCACGACCGCCCCACTGTGGACCATCTGGCCCCCTTCCCCCAGACACCCGCCACGGCCCAGCCCAGGACGACTCCAGTTCACAGCCGGCCACACTGGTGACTGGGAAACATGCCGCTCCCGCCTGGTGCCCACGACCTTCCCGTCTTCCTGTCACAGATGCCACTGGACAAGCTCAAAACACGGAGACCCTAGCCCTTGTAGGAGCCCGTCAGATGGAAGCACGCAGGGTGTGGGTGACGGGGGCATGCAGGTCGGGGTCCAGGGCCCCAGACATCCCTGCCAGGATGGCCTTCAGGGCAAGCATTGCGTCTGTGGCTTCCCTCCTCTGAGGCACAGCAGACGCTGCCGATTTCCTCCACGAGACCCATCAAGATCCCCTGGTGGCAGCTACCCTAGGCAGTGCTCTCACAGGGACACACGGCCTGCCCATCTGGGACATTGCTGCCTTCGAATGCTCTCTCCTCCTGACAGGAAGACCCTAGAGGTAGGGTCTGGGTCTGCTGACCTTCCTCATCTAGTGCCTAAAATGGTTCCACATGCAGGGCGCTCTCCCCACAAACACAGGATGGACAGATGGGTGGGTGGAAGGATGGACAGTGGAGGCCTATGGTCAGGAGAGCTCAGAGATAAGGAGACACAGTGCCCTGGGGCCAGAGAGGCTGAGAGCATGGCACCCCAGGGGGCCTCGCCTGCACCCGACTCTGCCCGGCCCGCAGCCCCGATGACTGAACTTCCTCAGGGCCCGGTCTCTGAAAGCGGCAGGCCTCCTAGATGCTCTCTGCTGCCTCTGCCCCTCCAGACAGGCCCATGCACAGCCTTGGCAAACACCTCTGTGGGCATCAGGAGCAGGCACAGCTGCACAGCGTTCAGGGGAAAAACGCTGTTAGAAATCCAGCATGTTCTAAAACTAGGAAATGAAAAAAAAAAATTTGTGGCACAAAAACCATTAAAAGGCAAGATGTTCCTCTGCAATACAAAGGTGTCCTTAAATCTGTAGTTTCCAAAGGTGGCAGCTTCATACAACACAATTTCCTGAAGACAAGTTCATCACTCTATTTTCTTTAAGGTCTCAAATACCATTCATCTTTAAAAATAGAATATATTACATAGTTTCATGAAATAAAATCACCTAAAAGCATGCAGCGTGCTGCCCGTTCACAGAGACAGACACGGAACGTGCTGACTGAATGTGGCGGCACTGACCTTAATATCGCGATGACCACCCTGACAGCCGTGCGGAACTTGGTGAAGGGACGAGACATGATCTTCCGCTCTGCTTTGGAAGGAAATACCCCCAAATGGGCAATCATGGAGAGTGTTTCTTGTTCAGAATCCTGGAATCCACCAATCAACAGCAAAAGATACTTCTTTTGATAAATCAGAGCTTTTCTAAAGCTCTCTGCTCTCAAATAATGTAGGTATAATTTTTCCATCTAAAAAAAAAACAGTAAAATTTTATCATAGGAAACAAAGACTCTTGCTGACAAAAGCACATTTACACCACTGCTCTTGACAAAGAACCATACTGTTTCTTCTCGGCAATCATCAGGAGGTCATCGTCCTTGCAACTGTATCTGTGGCCAGGAACAACCTTGCTGTTCAAAGATCAATCTGTATTAGTCAGAGAAGATGCAGGACCACAACCTCCTCCCTGCAGCATCATGAGATGAGCCCCTATGAAGGCTCCTTGAATTTAGCCACTTCAGTAAGGTCCGCTTTGGGCACGGGGGTGGATGTCAGTCACGGGGTGGGGGCTGAGCCATCAGGAGCCTGCCGAGGAGCTTCGGCCAAATCCCGGCACATCCTGGGCCAGGGCTCCTGCCGGCTGCAAAGGCTGTCACTTGCTGGCTTTGTCAAAGCTGTCCATGTTCCCACACTTATCTCACAAGCACAGAAACTCAGTATTTGTACACAAGTAAACCAAGATGCAAGCCACAGTTTATTCTGTCCAACTTCCTTTTCTTTCAGCGATCTTACTGCTAACTGCTAGACCTGGTAGACAAGAACCTTGTGGTCACAAGAATGCTTTGCCTGCAATTTACAAACCCAGGACTTAAAAAAGCACCAAAGTTCTATACTCATGACACTGTCCCTACCTTGACGTTGCTGGTGTTGGCTTCCCCGCTGGCAGCTGGTGGAAGCCAGCCAGGGTCTGGGCGCCTCAGGGAACTCTCTGGAACCGTTTCGTCTGGCTTCCAAGCCGACCTGTCCGGCCTCTGTAAGGAAGCACAGCCAGCACTGTCTACAGAGCTGCTCGTCAGCAAGAGCAGGTTAGGAGAGTTGCGCTCCCACCCCATGCGCTGGAGAAGGCCCGTGTGTGGGGAGACCAGGCTGACCACTCCTCATCCTCAGCCCTTCCTCAGCAGGGTCTAGCTTATAGCATGCTGTGATCAGTCGAGGAATTAACATGGGATAATTACGACATGCCATTTGCTGAAGTATGACTGCAAAAAAGGTACGTTTTAGTAGATAATAGAAAACCAATTATTTATAAAATCACCCCAAATTCAAAGCTTGAAACCTTAAACACTCATATTCTCTGGTCCTAGAAATGCCAGTCACTGTCAGCTCTCTACACCCGTGGATTCAGCCGACAGTGGGTGAAAAATACTCAGAAAAAAATGTGTCTGCACCAAACGTGCACTTCTCTTGCCCTGCACCCTCAACAACACAGGGTCATCACTGTTTCCATAGCGTTTCCACCGGATGAGGTGTTGCAAGTGATCTCAGGGCCGAGGGCTGCCTGCTAACGCCACCTTAGGTCAGGGGCCGAGGCAGGAGGATCCCGGAGCCTGGGAGGTCAAAGCTGCAGTGAGCTGTGACTGCTCCACACTGCAGCCTGGGAGACAGAGCAAGGTCCTTCTCAGAAAAAAGCCCAGAAGTGAAAGAAGCCAGTGTAAGAGGTCCCAAGCCACCTGGTTCTACTTACACAACTTTCTGGGAAGGAGCCACAGCCTGCGGCAGACAGGGTGGCTGCTGCTCTTTCTTGGGGGCTATCGCTGTGTGATCTGAGTGGTGGTTACTTATGAAGGTTGCGGGGGGTAGGGGTGGGGTGTGTGTGTGTGTGTGTGTGTGTGTAAACTTGTATGACATAACACCAGAAAAGGGCAAATTTTACGGCATGTAAATTTAAAAATAACTTTCAAAAAGTTATAAAAAATGAAGCAAATCACAAACAAAACAACCTAAATGCAAAAGAATAAAAAATAAATCAGGCATTCCAGAAGACGACTCTACCTAACTATACCATTAAGAAAATTATAAGTTAGGTGGGCGCAGTGGCTCATGCCTGCAATCCCAGCATTTTGGGAGGCCGAGGCGAATGGATCACTTGAGGTCAGGAGTTTGAGACCAGGCTGGCCAACAGGCAAAACCCTGTCTCTACTAAAAATATAAAAATTAGCTGGGCATGGTGGTGGGTGCTTATAATCCCAGCTATTTAGAAGGCTGAGACAGAATTGCTTGAACCTGGGAGGTGACAGTTGCAGTGAGCTGAGATCACACCATTGTACTCTAGCCTGGGTGACAGAGTGACTGACGCTCTGTCTCAAAAAAAAAAAAAAAAAAAAGAAAATTATAAATTACTTTAAATAAAACTCTAAATTCAAGCAGATTATTATATTCTCAGTCAAAATACCCTTTGGGTTTTTTTTTTCTTGAGACGGAGTTTTGCTCTTGTTGCCCAGGTTGGAATGCAATGGGAAGATCTCGGCCCACCGAAGCCTCCACCTCCAGAGTTCAAATGATTCTCCTGCCTCAGCCTCCCAAGTAGCTGGGATTACAGGCGCCGCCGCCACACCCAGCTAATTTTTGTGTTTTTGGTAAAGACGGGATTTCTCCATGTTGATCAGGATGGTCTCAAACTCCCAACCTTAGATGTTCCACCCACCTCAGCTTTCCAAACTGCTGGAGCCACCACGCCCAGCCCTAAAACACCCTTTAATGTGTTTTAGGGCTGGGAACATGCACCAAACATCAAGTGGTGGTCAGGGTCGGTGAAGCAGGAGGTCTGCTGAGATGGTCAAACATCCGTAACACTCAGCAAGACTTCAAACAGAGATGATGGAGCCGGCACACCCAGGTCCCTGGAGGCAGCCAAGCCTCCTGTGAGGTGGAGCTGCGCTGGACCAGGGCATTCGGGCTAGGGCAGGTGAGAGTTCAGCACAGATACCTACACTCGGGGTGCAGCCCTTCTGCAGGTGATGCTTCAGCATCTTCTCAAGCTTTGCCACCGCCCTGCTCAGCTCCAGCTTCTCCCGGGTCACTGTGCTGAGGGCTTTGGTAAGGGAAACGTTGTCTTTCAGCAGGACGTCCACGAACTGGAGCTGCAGCTCTGCTGCCATTTTTTTCTTGGAGAAAAGAAAATAAATTTGTAAGCTAAAGGACATGTACATTATTTGTTTTTTTTTTTTTGTCAAGTTGCTTTTAGGATTGTAATTAACGTGTCTGGGGTTCCATGCAAAGCTTGTGGGGCTGGCAGAAAACTGTAAAAGTCATCAAATCACAGACTTTGCACAAAACTGGCTTCTATGAACGATGCAGGCCTGTCACAAAGCACAGACCATTTGGTTGTTCCAACAGCACCTTATTAACAGGTGGCTGGATCGCTATTAGTTCATCCCAAGGGGGCAGATATGAAGCCCCTCAAAACAGGCTTACTACTTCCACCACCAAAAGGACGTCAGCCTGCGGAAGGTGGGCACACTGAAGGCCACCAGTGCCCAATATGGACAGGGTGCACCCCACCCATGACGACGCTGTGCAACTCTCCGGCAGCTCACATGCACGGGCTCCATGATAAAAGTCACAATTCCATAAATGCCACAGAACACGCATCAGGAAGTTATAACAGCAGCCAGATTCCCAACTCCTCCAGAGGCAGCTTACAGTGAGCTCGGACTTTCCCAAGAGAACTTGAGTTTTTGTTTCTAGCAAAGGCCATCAACACAAATACAAAGCCAGCAGGCTGGGCCAGGCAGAGGTGAGCATCAGCCCCCCAGAGCCGGAGCAGAGCAGAACCAGGGCCCCTCCGGACCAGCAGCTGCGGGATGTGTGTGGGCCACGCACGGCAAGCGGCATGTGAGGAGGGTGTCCACACAGCCATGCAGCATTCCGTGGGCAGCAGGGCTCGGCCCCCGAAGACACACAAGTGACCCAGGACATGGAGGGCATCCGTCTCCACTTGGCCCACAGGATCGGCCCCCATCCACTCACCCAGATAGCAACATAAAGTCAGAGAAGACATCAGAGAAAACAGTGAGGGAGGAAAAACAACCAAACAGCGTCAAAAAGAAACCACAAAGCTGCCGAGAGGGCCCCTCTGGGGAAGGCGCCGGGGCAGGGACCTGGGGTGCTCACCCCTTACCTGGGAGGAGGTGGGCCTGCTCAACTCAGACTTCAGCTCGTCCAATGTGTGCAGTAAAGATGCCACTGCCTTCTCATTGGATGATGTCCAATCATTAATTGTCCTGTAAAAATAAACGGGCACCTAACGGTTCATGCGTACCCCAAATAAGCATTATCCAAAACTACGGAAGAACTGTCTGCTCACAAGAGACAAAGAGAAGACAGGTTCCTGAGGGGCCTGTGTGTGAACCGTCCAGCCATGAGGCACAGAGAGAAGCCCCAAACTTCCAGCATGGGAAGCCACTGCCTGCCATGTGCTGCAGCTTTCTACCAGAATTAATGATTGAAACTGCTGTGCTGAATGAAACTTGGCTTAGAAATCATACTGCTTGGACGGGCATGGTGGATCACGCCTGTAATCCCAGCAATTTGGGGAGGCTGAGGCGGGCGGATCATGAGGTCAGGAGTTTGAGACCCGCCTTGCCAGCATGGCGAAACCCTGTCTCTACTAAAAATACAACTATCAGCTGGGTGTGGTGGTGGGCACCTGTAATCCCAGCTACTCAGGAGGCTGAGGCAGGAGAATCGCTTGAACTTGGGAGGCGGAGGTTGCAGTTGCAGTGAGCCCAAACTGCACTACTGCACTCCAGCCTGGGAGACAGAGCAAGGCTCAGGCTCAGAGAAGAAAAAAAAAAAAAAAAAATCAAGCTGCCCTCTAAATTAAGTCCAAGTGTAGAAAGAACTGTATTCGCTGAGTTCATTAGCATTACTCTTTCTGTCCACATGAAACATCACAATCATCATCCTGGTTGTGAGTGGCCTAGAGTGACCCAGACACTGGGCAGTGCCAGCCTGGGGGCACAGGAGACTCCAAACCCAACCCTCTGGGTGGTGAGCAACTTTACAAACTGTCAAGAGAACCAACCCACCTCAAAGAAACGTGGAAGCCCCACGTTAGGTGTATTCTGAATAACAGGATTTTTTTCCCTAACGTTAAAATGTAAATGCCATTCCGGAATCCCTCAGGAGAGTGCCGGGAAGAGGACTACAGTGTTAAGTGCAAAGGAGCAGGGGCTTCACACCAGACATGCCCAGGCCCTCGGGAAGGCTCTCAGACAGACTCGTGGCTGCAAGGGCCCAGCGGGCGCCGGGTGGTCGGGTGCATACCTGCCCACGGCCTGGCTGGTGAAGCTGGTGAGGAGCCCCACAGCACAGAGCAGCCGCTGCCTCATGGCCTCCAGCTCTCGCTGCTGTTCCCGGAGGTGGTCCACGTCCGAGCTGGCAGCCCCGCGAGCAGAATCTGGGTGGAGGCGGCCACCAGGTGCCCCATCCTTCGACTCCAGGTCTCTCACCATCTGCTGAAGCTGCTTAATCTTATGCAAGTCACGCTGACGCTGCAGTTCTAATTCACGCTGTTGTTAACAGAAAAAGGATAAGATGTTCATCTGAGTGTCCACAAACAAAACTGACAGCCGGGCGCAGCGGCTTACACCTGTAATCCCAACACTTCAGGAGGCTGAGGCGGGCAGATCACCTGAGGTCAGGAGTTTCAGACCAGCCTGGCCAACATGGAGAAACCCGTCTCTACTAAAAATATAAAAATTAGCTGGAAATGATAGCACATGTCTGTAGTCCCAGCTAGTCAGGAGGCTGAGGCAGGAGAATGGCTTGAACCCAGGAGGCAGAGGTTACAGTGAGCCGAGAGTGCACCACTGCACTCCAGCTGGAGCACAGAGCTAGACTCCACTCCAAAAAAATCACCACCAAAAAAAAAAACTGCCGAGCCGGCCAGATGCGGTGGCTCACGCCTGTAATCCCAGCACTTCAGGAGGCCGAGGTGGGCGGATCACGAGGTTAAGAGATTGAGACCATCCTGGCCAACATGGTGAAATCCCATCTCTACTAAAAATACAAAAAAATTAGCCAGGCATGGTGGCATGCGCCTGTAGTCCCAGCTACTTGGGAGACTGAGGCGGAAGAATCGCTTGAACCCAGGAGGCAGATGTTGCAGTGAGCTGAGATTGTGCCATGGCACTCCAGCCTGGTAACAGAGCAAGACTCCATCTCAGAAAAAAAACAACTGCCCAACAAAAGACCAAAACACACAGTCACGTTACAGGCGAGGCCCCTCACAGACAAGAAACAGGCCCTTGGGCGGGCAGCCTCTGTGGTCTTCCACTGGGACCCACACGGCCTGACGCACCGCACACAGGCACTCACGCCAACACAGACGTGGACGGGCACAAATGTGCATGTGAACGTGCACACATGTATGAGCCTGAGTGCAGCCCTGGGCTGAGCCTGCCTGGCCATGTGGTCCTGGGCCCGTAAGCCAGACCTCGAGGAGCAGCAACCTTCCCTTCTACAGGATGGGGGCCCAGGCCATGTCTGGTGCCTAGGAGAAGCGTGTCAGTGATGCCTGAGCCCTGCCCAGTGCACAACTCCTTCCAGGCGAGGGACAGAAAGGCCATTGCATGACAGGGCAAGGAAGGATGGGCAGCCTCCTCTGAAGGGCCTTGGAGTCACCAGTGCTGCTGGGGCTTCCTTGTGACAAAACAGACAGACCCAGCAGGAAGAGGCCCAAGGTGCAGACACACAGGCAGCTCGCCATGTCAGGGAGGGATCCACAGCACTAAGCGGAGGCCACCCAGCCCGGAGGATGCTCAGGTGAGCCTGCACTGTGTGGCACCAGTGCCCCTGCCACTGTGGTGACAAGCTTGGACTCTACCTTCCTGACAGCGCCGCACTCAATGCTCAGGCCTTGTAAGCAAACAGGAGTCATTCTATTTTCTATTTTCTACTAAGATAAGTAAGATACAGATGAACTGATGAAATTATATTATTTAGAAAAGATGGAATTGTCTCTGGCATACCACTATCTTGGGAGGCTTCAATGGCTTCAGCTAGAGAAGGTTCTATAACCAGATCAAATTCATCATCCTCAGTAAAACGAACTCGGGAAGGGCCACCTCACTAAAAATACACGTCAAGGTGCATCCTGAAGGAAAGTTACTAACACAACTTAGAAAACGTTTTCTTTGTATTTTTTTTTAAGCACTCGTGTTACTATTCTTTTCAATAAAGAATCTACATTAAATAAAAGGTTGACTGGAAACTTCAGGCATGGTTTCAGGAAATTCTCAACAAGCAAATGAAAGGCACCCCTTGACCGCCCCATGAAAGGCAGAGCCCTTGCCCGGGAAAAAGGCAAACACACATCCCATCTCAACTCAGCCAGGGTGCTGTGCCCGGGAGAAAGGCAACACACACCCCAAGTCTCAACTCAGCCAGGGTGCTGTGCCCGGGAGAAAGGCAACACACACCCCAAATCTCAACTCAGCCAGGGTGCTGTGCCCGGGAGAAAGGCAACACACACCCCAAGTCTCAACTCAGCCAGGGTGCTGTGCCCGGGAGAAAGGCAACACACACCCCAAGTCTCAACTCAGCCAGGGTGCTGTGCCCGGGAGAAAGGCCACACACACCCCAAGTCTCAACTCAGCCAGGGTGCTGTGCCCGGGAGAAAGGCAACACACACCCCAAGTCTCAACTCAGCCAGGGTGCTGTGCCCGGGAGAAAGGCCACACACACCCCAAGTCTCAACTCAGCCAGGGTGCTGTGCCCGGGAGAAAGGCCACACACACCCCAAGTCTCAACTCAGCCAGGGTGCTGTGCCCGGGAGAAAGGCCACACACACCCCAAGTCTCAACTCAGCCAGGGTGCTGTGCCCGGGAGAAAGGCAACACACACCCCAAGTCTCAACTCAGCCAGGGTGTTGTGCCCGGGAGAAAGGCCACACACACCCCAGGTCTCAACTCAGCCAGGGTGCTGCGTTGCCACAAAGCCGCAGCGGATGCTTTTGCCATGCTCGGCCACACTGTCTGCGCCACCAAACCACCTCCCTGCTCACCAAGGCTTCTGGAAATAGAACACTACAAGTATTCCAAAGAGTTGTTTTTTTTGTTTTGTTTTTTTTTTTTTTGAGACGGAGTTTCGCTCTTGTTACCCAGGCTGGAGTGCAATGGCGCGATCTCAGCTCACCGTAACCTCCGCCTCCTGGGTTCAGGCAATTCTCCTGCCTCAGCCTCCTGAGTAGCTGGGATTACAGGCACGCACCACCATGCCCAGCTAATTTTTTGTATTTTTAGTAGAGATAAGGTTTCACCATGTTGACCAGGATGGTCTCGATCTCTTGACCTCGTGATCCACCCGCCTCAGCCTCCCAAAGTGCTGGGATTACAGGCTTGAGACACCGCGCCCGGCCGAGTTGTTTTTTTTGAGGCACAGTCTCGCTCTTGTTGCCCAGGGGTGCAGTGGCGCAATCCCGGCTCACTGCAACCTCAAAGCCTCCCAGGTTCAAGCAATTCTCCTGCCTCAACCTCCTGAGTAGCTGGGATTATGTGCATGCACCACCACACCCAGCTAATTTTTTCTATTTTTAGTAAAAATGGGCTTTCGCCTGGGCCGGGCACAGTGGCAAACACCTGTAATCCCAGCACTTTGGGAGGCTGAGGCAGGTGGATCACCTGAGGTCAGGAGTTCAAGACCAGCCTGACCAACACAAAGAAACCCGTCTCTTTTATTTAAAAAAAGAATGAAAAAATGGGTTTTTGCCATGTTGGCCAGGCTGGTCTCAAACTCCTGATCTCCAATGATCCACCCGCCTTGGCCTTCCAAAGTGTTGGGATTACAGGCACCAGCCACTGTGCCCGGCCTGCCCTCATCACTTCTATTCAACGTTGAGATCACACCACTGCACTCCAGCCTGAGTGACAGAATGAGATCTGTCTCAAAATTAAAATAAAATAAAATAAAAATAAGTAAATAAATTTAACAAAAGTATACAACTTATATTTTGAAAGCAACAAAACACTGTTGAAAGAAACCGATGAAGACGGGTAAGTAAACGGCGGGCGCAGTGGCTCACTCCCGTAATCCCAGCACTCTGAGAGGCCAAGGTGGGTGGGTCAATGGAGGTCAGGAGCTTGAGACCAGCCTGGCCAACAAGGCAAAACCCCGTTTCTACTAAAGATACAAAAATTAGCCAGGCCACCTCCCATGTAGCTGGGACCACAGGCACGTGACACTACTCTCAAGAAGAAGCACTTAAACCAAGGAGGCAGCGGTTGCAGTGAGCTGAGATCACGCTATTGCACTCCAGCCGGGTGACAGAGCCAGACTCTATCTCAAAAAACAAAAAACCCAACCTAATTAAATGGAGAGACACATTCTGTAATCATGGGTCAGAAGACCTCATACTGCCCAGCTGTCAGCACTAGCCAGAGCTATCAGCAGATTTAATGCAACCTCTAAGAAACTCTCAATGGCAGTTTCTGCAGAAATACAAAAGCCATCCTCAAATTCCTATGGAACAGCAAGAAGCCCCACAGAGCTGAAACAATCTCGAAAAGGAAGAATAAAGGTGGAGGAATCATGCTTCCTGATTTCAACACTTTCTAGAAAGCTATAGAAACAGCAGTGTGGGGCCCGCGCCAGGGCACAGACAGGGCAGACCAGATCCGAGAGCCAACACAAACCTCGCGTCCCCCACGTGAACCCCGCTAACTCCACCGGCTATCAAGTCTAGGTGCGGACGCTCCGCCGGCGGGCGGCTCTCACCAGCTTCTCCTTGTCTCTCTGCTGCTTCTTCCACTGCTCCATGGCCCCTGGGCTCTGCCCAGCTTCCGCGCTCCGCCTTGCAGCCTGACGGGCTTCTTGCTCTTTTGACCGTGGGTGCGACTGCTCTAATTCTGCCTGCAACCATGCTGGTTTCTCCCTCTCTCTCTCCAGAAAGCATCTCAGCTCTCGTTCCGGGGTGTGCAGGGCTTCCACTGTGGCCTTCAGCGTGGCACTTACCTCCTTCTCTCTCCTCAGCTCCTCATAGTGCTTCTGAGCCTCGGCCTCAAGCTGCTGCTGCGAGCGCACGGCCTGCTGCTGCAGCTTTTCGAGCATGGCCTGCAAGTCCACCACACGGGACTTCTCCTCCCTCAGCTTCCGCAGCAGAGCGTGCTGTGACTGTGTGTCCTGCTGCGCGCAAGCCTCCTGTGTCCTCTGGCTCAGCCGCTCGGTCAGCAGCCGCTCATGCCGCAAGGCCTCCGACAGCTCCAGGGTGCGGCTCTTCTCAGCCGCCAGGTCCTTCTGCAGCTCGGAGAGCTGGGTCCGCTCCTGGGCCAACAAGGCCTCGCAGCGTGAGTGCTCGATGCGCAGCTCCTTCTGCAGGTTGTCCTTGGCCACCTGCTCGTGTTTCAGTGCCACACAGAGTCGACTGCTCTGGGCACGCTGCGTCTCCAAAGATGCCCGCAGCTCCTAGGCGGCAAGAAGACACGACAGGAGACGTTGAATCACGAGGAAAAGTGTCTAAATCGTTTTCCTGTCCACATCTGTTTGTACACCTTAGCCCAGCAAGCCTGCCTTTTGAAATGCACCTATTAGCCATATGTAGGTACAAGCTTTTTTGTTCATCAAGTAACAGAAAACCCAGATTGGGATGACACACTTTGTTGGAAGTGGTGTTGACAAACTGCACGTGCATGTCCTGGATTCAGAGAAGTCCCCTGGCCCCTCATCAGAAAGTCACTAACCAAAGAGGCTCAGAGATATGCACCCTGCTTGCTATGAACCACCATTTCCATGCTGTAGAAAGCCACAGCCCATGGAGCTGGCGCAGACTTGCTTGACAGCCCTACGATGCCTGCTGGGCCTCTGCCACGCAAAGCCGAGGGTCCCCGCCACCGACCTGCCCCGTGCACAGAAGACCTCTGAGGCTGCACTCCATCTCAGACGGACAGCAAGGGCGCTGTGTCCATCTCCAGAGGTAATGCTCAGGGACAGTGGGCACTTCAGGCAGGGATAACGTGCCCCCATGGGTAATCGCAATGTCTGCCCCGTGGTGGCTGCCACTACACCAAGGTGTAGAAAACACAGCCCTATCCTGCTGCCTCACACTGCTGTCAACTGGGCATGCTGCCCTCAAGAACAGGAAAGGAGGACGGAAGAGAAGCATGGCTGTAGGCTTCCAAGGGACACAGCCTCTGCCAGCCACCTCGCCCCGACACCCAGTCACCTCCAGGGCCTTGGCATTCTGGTCCTCCCTCTGCAGGTGCCGCAGCTGCTCCTCCTCCAGCTGGCTCTGCAGGGCACGCCCCTTCCCCTGCTCGCTCTCCAGCTCCTGACGCACGGCCTTCAGCTCGTTCTCCTTACTGCTCAGCACGGATCTGCACAGAGACACAGGTGGTCCCAGGCCTCGCGTCACAGAACACTCTGACCACACAGGCTGGGAGCTCCAGGAGGGGAGGGCGGAACCCTGCCAGGCCCTGTGCATGTGCTTCACCCCCACTGCAGGCTTAGCAGCCCAGGGACAGCAGGGTGCCGTGCCCCTGGGGCTGCCCAACTGCAGCCCGCCAGAGGTTCTGTTTCCCTTCATTGCCAAAACATGGTGGCCAAAATGGCGAGACTCCCGCCAGGGTCCAGGGAAGGTGGATGCCACGCACCTCAGCTGGAGGACCTCCTGCTGCACCTCGTGGAGGGAGCCGGACAGCCGCTCGCTCTCCTGCCTGCACCCGCAGAGCTCAGACTTCAAATCCCGCACGGCACTCTGCTCAGCTGCCAGGAGCTTCTGCAGGCCGTGTGCTTTCTCCTCCTCTTCTCTCAGCGTCTTCTGCAAGTCGCCTGCAATGGACTTCTCCTGCTCTACTTTATAGGTCAGCAGTTCAACTGAGAAAGACGAAAGAACAGAAATACAGGCCCCGTGAGCTCCACATGCTGCACGTGTAACACAGGTCAGAGACAGACTCGTCGGGGTGCGGGCTGAATCCGCTTCAGGAAGAAAGGAGGTTCTGTGGACTAGAAGCTTTCGTTGTGGATGGAGCAGGACGCTCATTTCTGCCATCTGGGCCACTTCCTTCCGGGCCCACGCTCCTGGCGGGGAGCCCATGGAGTACAGGAGTGATGCATCCCTGTGGCCATCCTGAAATGCCACCCCAGCCCCACCCACAGCCTCAACTGCCTCCAATAGAGGCAACTCCAGGCCCAGGTGGCTTTACTGGAAAATTCTCCCAAAACTTAAGGAAGAAATAACCCCAATTCTAGACAACAGAGGGGATACTTCCCAAACCCCCATGGGGCTGGTGCTACCCAGCATCAAGCAGAAAAAGGCACAAGAGAAAGGAATCTAGAGATCAGCGCCCCTCTCCAGAGAAAGGAAACAGACCAGCGCCCCTCGTGAGAGAGAGGAAACAGACCAGCACCCCTCGTGAGAGAGAGGAAACAGACCAGCACCCCTCACGAGGGAAAGGAAACTGAGACCAGCGCCCCTCGAGAGAGAAACAGACCAGCGCCCCTTCGCGAGAGAGAGGAAACTGAGACCAGCGCCCGCCCCCGGCCCAGAGAGCATGAAGGGAAGGACAAGGCGTGGGGACAAAGGCCGTGGCCTCAACTGCAAGGCTTTTCCCCTTGACAGAATCCAAAACTAGGAACAGAAGGCACTTGCCCGAGCTGACCAAGGGTGCCTGAGCCCACCCACACGGGCACGAGACCAGGTCCTGCCCCCAAAACTGCGAGCAGGGAAGGGCGTCTGCCCAAGCAGCTGGCGGCACAGCACCCAAGAAAACGAGGGCGGGAAATGAAAAATCAATCATTACTTACCCACGATGACATGAGCGTCTACATAAAAACTCCCAAAGGACCTAAACTCAATGTAGAAACCTACAAGACATTCCTAACTCTAGTGCAAGCTCCCCAAACTCTGCCAGCACTCAGCCCAACACAGACCCCTCCTGCCCACACCGGGCCTGGCCATGAGGCCTCCATGCGCCAGCCCCTCCCGGCTCTGCCTGTCTCCAGGGTCCTTTCTGCTCCCTTCTATCAGCTGACAACTGTAGCAACATTTGGGGGCCCGACAAGATGACAGCCTGTCACCACCCTCTGCCCCAAGGCCACACAGGTGTGTGTCAGGTGGGCAAGGACAGGGGCAGGGCCCCACAGGCGGTGTGAACAGTGGCACCCACCCTGCCTGCGCAGCTGGTGCTCCTGCTGGCTCCCACACGCCTCCGCGCTGGTCAGCGCCATGTGCAGGTGCTGCAGCTTCTCCTGGTTCTGCAGGTGCGTCATGCGCAGCTGGGCACGCAGAGCCTGGATCTCAGACAGCAGGCTGCTCCGGTCCAGCAGGTGAAGATGCTCCAGTGACTTTTCCTGCAGGTCTCCCTGGCGGCACAGGAGGAAAAGCAGCCTGAGCCCCAGGTGGCTGCCGCACGCCCCTTCCAAGCCTGCTGAGTCTAGAGAGGGTGCACAGTAGCCCCTGGGCCTCCGGTCAGGCCCGTGGGCATCAGGGCTGGGCCACGCTACCCTGCATGAGGCCTGCAAGCTGGTTACTCTCAACACTGGGTCTCCTCACATGTGCAATGGTGGTGACAGAATTTCCAGTGTCCCCATGGCACCAACGCTACTCAGCCCTGCACACAGAGCACCTCACCACCCAGGAGGGGCTACTTGGAACAAGGAATGTCTCTAGCTGCTAATCTCGAAACAGAGTGAGGCGGTGAGGGCGGATCACATGCACAGCTGTCCTCGTTAGAGCTGCAGACGGAAAATCATAGCATCCCGCGTGGACTGAGCGTGACCACCTGGGTCACAGCCAGAGGGGAGAGAAACAAACAAAATTCAGATACAAAAAAGTCTGTGTCACCCACTCTGCCAGGGCTGGACTCCTGAGGCCTGGTGGCACAGGTGTCCCTCACCTGTTCACGGATGACCTTCTCCAGCCTTTCAAGCAGGGAGCTGCAACCCCCCAGATCCAAGCCCCCAAGTTAGGGCTGCAGCTCAACCCCCTGCATCTCCTGCTCTTTTTCAAATGCCTCCTGCACAACCTGCAGAAACTCCCCACTCCAGTCAGGGAACGTGGTGGGCAGGTTCTAAGGTGTGAAGGAGGAAACAGTCCTCACTAGTGCACCTGCAGGTGTCATGAGGACTGCATGCTCGCTCCCCACAGTTCCCAGTGTGACTGCGTTTGCAGATGGGGCCTGTGGGAGGTGATTCAGGGTAAATGAGGCCTCGTAAGAAGAGATGCCAGAGCTCACTCGCTCGCCACCATGGGAGGCCACAGCAGGGCAGAGCTCTCTGCAAACCAGCACCCAGCCCTGTGGCACCTGATTCCAGAACAGACGAAACCAAGGTCTGCCGTTTAGGCCCCTGCACTGGGGTGTTCTGTTATGGCAGCTGAACAGATGGACACGAGTTCAAACAGAAATGACCCTGACAGAAGAGAAGACACACACTGCCCAGGGCCATTCAGGGCTCCAGAAGTAAACACTGCCATCGTGAGAAGAGAAGAGAAGAGGTGAAAAACATGATACGGTAAGGTCAGGAAAACATCAGCAAAGCTCCTTCTTTCTTTTCCTGCTGCTGCACCTTCGAGGCCCGGAGCCTAGAGGGGGTCTAAGGCTGCAAGGAGCTGCCCACTGGTCCCCAGGGTGGCACGCAGCACCAATGAGCCTCCCAAGTGCCAGCCAGGCTGCCGCTCGCACAGGACAAGGGCCTGCTGGAGGGGCAGGCAGTGGCAGATGGAGCTGACCCACTAGCTCTCCAGGGTACCGGTACGCCCTGCGAGTTCCAGGCACAGGGGACAAAGTCCATCCCTCCCTCACGAAGCTCTCATCCTGGTCAGAGGCAGACACAGGGGCAGGAGGCAGACATGGGAGATGGGAGGGAGCATGACTGGCTCAGCACCCACTCCACAAACTCTGGTGCTGGAAGGAGAAAAGCAGGGAGATGGGCAGGGATTGGGGAGAAGTGGGACAGGGGAGAGGCAGCACAGAGATGAGGCCCTGAGGTCCAGTTACTGGGGCTTGGGGTGTGGAAGGGGAGGTAGGAGAGGCCCAAGGGCAGGAACAAGGCCAGAGGGCAAGTCACCCGAGGGGCAGGAGGAGGGGCCTTGGGGCCAAGTGGTGTGATGGGCTGAGTCCTCAGGGCCACATGGCAGAGAGAGCACTCTTGGCCTCCCGGGAACTCACACAGGAAGAGCACTCTCGGCCTCCGGGGACTCACGCAGGGAGAGCACTCGGCCTCCTGGGGACTCATGCAGGGCATGGGCCCAAAAGCCTGGAGCGCTTCTGCCCCACACACACCTCCACGTCCCGTAGGGAACCTGCTCCCAGAGTCTGCGCCCGCTGTGGGAAGTGGGAAGGCCTCCCCAGGGTTCTCGGACCTCTGTCTTTTTGGTTGTGCTAAAGAAACCCGAGACTACAGGTGCCCACACGTGGCCCTGAAAATGCAGCCGTTGCTGCAAGCTCCTTAAATCCTTGGGAAAAGATGTGAGGTGCCAATAAAACTGTGTCTTCCCCCAACATGGAGCAAGCCATCCGGTACCTCGTTTCCCTTCCAGGCTGGGTGTGGCTCGCCTGTGCCCAGAGCACTGGGGGGCATGAGGCCTTCTGACAGCGCCAGGATCTGGTGGCTCTCATCACGCACCATCTGCAGCAAAGCCTGTGGCAGGAAAGGGCATCGAGAGGAGGGAGTCACCTGCCACCCCACACAGCCATGCTCCACACCACCTGCTGCCCTGAGCTGCAGCCACGGCTCCGTGAGGGCGGGCAGCCGTGGAGAGCCTTGGCTCTGTGCAGGTGGTGCCCACTTCTCGAGCTACAAGGTTTTCAAGCCATCCTCCCCCAGCCTTCAGGAAGACCACATGGAAGTCAGGCTTGAAGACTGAATTCCTGTATGAGCCACTCCAAAGATGGCCCCACCAATTCCTTCACTCCACCCGCTCCCTGAGGGGGACACCATCCCGTCTAAGCCTGGGCGAAGCTCAAGGCAGGGCTTCAGGCCAATGTCTGAAGCCAGGTCACAAAGTCAATACACACTACCGGCCCTCCTGGCACACTACAAGGATGCCACACAACGGTCACCCAGGAGGCCTCTGCACATGGTCCAGCTGAGGCCAGCGCCAACCACCAGTGTGGGGTGAAGCTGCCTGTGCTGGGAATGGGGAGCAGAGAAAGCTATCCCCAGCAAGCCCTGCCCGAGGTCCCAGCTCACAGGTCTGTTAAGCATGAGGCAGCTGAGAACAGAGGTCTGCAGGTGGGAGCAGGGTGGGTGGGAGCAAGGTGGGGGGAGGCCCTGAGGTTGCTTGGCCCCTGTCCTCCAGCTGCAGAGGACAGGCCAGTTCCTTCTTTTTAATATGCTTTTCTAGATTTTATATTGAGAAAATGCATTTTTAAAAACATCTCTCATGAAGAAAAATGACACAAAGGCCCTGGGCCACAGCTCCCGCCAGGTGACGTTGGGCCCCTGCAGCTGGGTTCCCGTGAGGCCCTGCCAGGTGATGTGGGGCCCCTGCAGCTGCGTTCCCATGAGTCTGAGAAGAAAGTGAGGCCCTGCCAGGTGACGTGGGTCCCCCGCAGCTGGGCTCCCATGAGGTCGGGAAGTGGGGTCCCGCCAGGTGACATGGAGCCCCATAGCTGGGCTCCCGTGAGGTCGGGAAGTAGGACTGAGCCCAGTGGGTACCTTGCAGCGTGGCCTGTGGGGCTACCCGGGGGGGGTCCCACAGACACCATTGCTGGGGCTCGGAAGGTTCCACAGCCTCCACGGTCAGGACCAGGCTGCTCTGCCGCCCACGCCTGTGGAGGGTCCTCGCTTCCTCAGCTGTGTCATACACTCTACACCCTACCCGGGTTTGCTTTCATCTTATGCTATATGCATTGTGTTTAAAGTAAAATTGTTTCCAGTTGTTCAACTGTCTTTAAAGTAAACATAGGATGCAATTTGGTTTCTACTACTTTTGTGTTAATATTTTTTGGGGGCACATCAGTAAAATTATTGTAAGGAATTTTTACAATAAGCAGACGTATTATATAAAAATTTGAGGCTGGGTGCAGGGGCTCACATTGTAATCCCAGCACCATGGGAGGCTGAGGTGAGCAGATCACTTGAGCTCAGGAGCTCAAGACCAGCCTGGATAACATGGCAACACTCCAACTCTACAGAAAATACAAAACTTAGCTGGGTGGGCTGGGCGCCATGGCTCACACCTGTAATCCTACCACTTTGGGAGGCCAAGGCAAATGCATCACCTGAAGTCAGGAGTTCGAGACCAGCCTTGCCAACATGGTAAAACCCTGTCTCTACTAAAAATACAAAACATAGCCGGGTGTGGTGGCGCATGCCTGTAGTCCTAGCTACTCCAGATGCTAAGGCAGGAGAATCGCCTGAACCCAGGAAGTGGAGGTTACAGTGAGCTGAGATTGCGCTACTATACTCCAGCCTGGGCAACACAGTGAGACTCCATTAAAAAAAAAAAAATTAGCCGGATGTGGTGGTGCACACCTGTAATCCCAGCTACTTGGGAAGCTGAGGTGGGAGGATCGCTTGAGCCCAAGAGACAGAGATGGCAGTCAGCTGTGATTGCACCACTCTGCTAAAGCCAGAGTAAGATCCTGTCTCAAAACAAAAAAAAAAAGGAAAATGCAAAGAAGAAATAAAAAACAGATTTTAAAAAATCAATCTCTCCAATTCTCCAATGTTTAAAAAGGTAAAATAAGTTAAATAAGTGGTGTCTTTTTTTTAAATTAAGAAAAGAGGTTTAATTGACTCAGGTCTGACAGAGATGAGGTCTTACTACACTGCCCATGCTGGTCTCAAACTGGGCTCAAGTGATCCTCCCGACAGCCTCCCAAAGTGTTGGGATTCCAGGTGCGAGCGACCACGCCCAGGCAAAAGTAAAACAAGTTTAACTCTGAAAGCAGTAGCCCTCACTTATCATCATGGATGGGTTCTTGGAAACCCACTTTAAGTGAAACGCATGTAACGAAGGCAACCTGAGGGCCCCTGAGACAACCGGACCTGCACCAGCAGCACAGAGCTGTCCCTCGCACAAGGTCAGCTTCCAAGAACCCAGGGGCAACACTAAGCGAGGACTTCCTGTGCAATTTCAGAATGGGTTTCACTGACATGAAAACTTCTTGGGAATCCGTTTGCTGCCTGAGTAAGACGGTGCAGTGGTTTGATTCCATCACTCACTTGCTTAGCCAAGTTTTTGTCAATGGTTTTGCAATAAAATGATCGCTAAACTGGGTGAGAAAAGAAAGCCTATGAAAAGTTCCACTAAATTCTGCCTTCAAAGTTGACTCAGAGGAGGATGTGGCTTCTGTCCCACCCGCCGAAGAGAACCTGGCTCAGTCCTAGAGCACTGAGACGTCTGAAGCCTCAGCCGCTCGAGAAGCAGGGCACAGCAGGGAGGGGGCACAGGCTGGCTCTGCAGCTTGAAGCAACACCACCTGCCCATGGGCACACAGGACCATCCTGCCAGGATGGGAGGAGCCACCCACAAGGCCAGTGCAGAGCTGGGCGGGCGGCTTCCGGGGCCACCGTGGGGGCTGGGCTGAGACTAGTCCTGTTTCATGTGAGTCATTAAAATGCAGGTGCTCAGAGGCTCTCCCTGGTGAGGCAGGACGCCGGGCTTGGGAGATGCCCCAGAGGCTGCACCTGTGAGCTGTGAGGGCCGTCCCCACCAGCCCTACCTTCATGTGCTTCGGATGGACTTCCTTCTCCTTCATGGCTTCCGGCAGTGGCTGAAACCTTCCAGAGATGGGAGCAGGGGTCACAGGACCAGCAGTGTGAGCCTCAAGGCCTCCGGACCCTGGGCTCAGTTTTGCTCCAAAACCTGAGCCATCACCTAAAAACACCATACTGTCAGGGTCCCACCTGCAGCTCTCTGCAGGGTTCCTCAGGGGATACGCCGCAGAGGCAAGGCAGGGGCGATCGGCCTGTAGCCCCAGTGACAACCACACCATGAAGTGAACACAGATGGGCCCCAAAATACCTTCATAAAAACATAACCCAGGTGAGAATGCCACACAAGTAAGAAAATGCAACTTAGCAGCATCACTGATTCAAGTGCCAGCTTTAGGGGACCCCTGCTCACTTTTCCAGACATGGCCCCCAAAGACTCCACAAAACCCAGATGGCTTTGGCAAGCCCCTAAGAGCAGGTGAACATGCAGGGCCTGCATCCTCCGTGCCAGCCATGGAGCAAAGGCAGCAGTGGACAGGTGTCCAAGGCCTGCTCAATAGACGCTGACCGTGCCTGCCTGTGGGTGCCTGCGGTGCTTGCTCCTGTGTCTGGTGGGTGCGGGTTCTCAAGGCAGAGTGTTTAAAACCTCCCAATGCAAGAGGCCCTGGTCCATCCTGGAGAGCTGCAGCTCCACCTGCCCACAGGGAGGGGGGCGCTTTGGAAACTGAGGCAGGATTGTGTCAGGGACCCTGGAAAAATGGTGCTGGACCTTCCCAGAGGATGAGGACACCAGCGAGACAGGCCCTCTGTGTGGACAAGGCTCCTGAGGAGAGGAGGCTGTGGCGCTCAGGTACCTGGGGATGCCCCAGCACAGCCTGGTGAGCAGAGAGCATGCTAGGGAGGAGCAGAGGCCGGCGACGCAGACAGAGGTCAGCCTCGGGATGACACGACCTCCTCAGAGAAACAACCGCTCATTCTTCACAACACGAAGCAACAAAGCGCAGATTTCTGTGAGTGTCGGCAAGTGCCGAGAGAACAGCCTGAAGGCCTCAGGCGCAGCTCGAGGGTGTGGGGTGCTGGGTCGCTGCCTTCCCGCTGCACAGCCACCGGCCACCGCATACCGCCTGCGAGTCTTTGTGCCTAATCGTGTCGCCAAGTCCCACTTCTGCCCTGAGTATTTCAGTGAAAGATCATGACGAATAAATCTTTGGCAAAATCATCTAATGCAGCAGGTGTTTGAGAAATCCCTGAGGATGAAGGACTCTGGCATTTCCCTGTGCCACGATCCCACAGCAGCACCCACAGCATGTACCAGGAACACTGGGATGTGACCGCCAAGGGCACTGTCACCCAGTGACATGGGCGCCCGGCACCACGCCCCAGCCCTCTCCATCCTAAGGAAATGGAGGCCAGCAGGTGCCACCAGTGGGTGTTCAGAGCTCAGGGAGTCCACAACCACATTCCTGTGGGCGGTCAGAGCTCCGGGAGTCCACGACCACATTCCCGTGGGCGGTCAGAGCTCCGGGAGTCCACGACCACATTCCCGTGGGCGGTCAGAGCTCTGGGAGTCCACGACCACTATTCCCGCTGTCCCACGGGACCCTGTGCCATCAGCATGAGCCAAGCTTCACCTCAGGAACCAACACCTTCCTCCAGGTACAGGGACCCCTCACCTGCCTGTGCCCAAAATAAACTCAAGAACAACCCCCCCCCCAAAAAAAAAGAAAAGAAGCAAGGAGATGAAGCTATAGGAGAGAGGAACAGTTAGGATAAGAAAGAACTGAGAAATTTAAAATATATGAGAGCAGGAAACAAAATACTTAGCACAAATGTTGAAAAATAAAGTTCTGAAGAAAACCTCTTAGAAATGAGAACAAAAATAAAAAGCAGAAATAGGGGGGAAAAATTAGAGAACCCTGGAGGTCTGATATATTTGAATAACAGTAATTACAGAAAGAAGAGAGAAACCCATAGATGTGACCCAAGAAAAGAAGAACGAGGAAGAAGTCCGAGTCAAGGGGTGCGCTCCACCCTGACCGCACAGGGCCCCTCCACAGTCATGCGCCACTGGAAGGCGCAGGCCCGGAGGCAGTGGACAGGCACATAATCCCTGAAAGAATGTGACTTCCAACCCAGCCACCCTACCAACAACCGCCAGGTCAACCCCACACACCTCCTGCCACGAGGGAGCCCGGGCAAGCAGCGCCACACGCCATTGCGAGGACACACCACACCATCAGCGGTGCCTCTGCCCTGAGACCCACAGCAGAGAAAGGGACATCCACCCCAAGGGGAGGGAAGGCAGGGCAGGCGGGCAAGGTAGCAGAGCCTGGAAACATGGGGTGCACCGCCCCAGTCTCCATCCCGCCAAAGACACCTGAACGCAGCCTGTGAGCTTGGGTGTCTTCTCCCTAAAGGACGCTAAGGGGACAATCGGTGAGATCTGAGCAAGGTCTGCAGCTGTAGCTGAGATGCCAGCCTTGGGTCAGGGTGCATATTCCGGGGTGGAGCGCAGCCCGAGCCGGCAACCTTGGCTGTGTGAAAGGCACAGATGTGTTTTCGGGAGTCAAGAGGCCCCAAGTGCACACCTGACAGAGGGCAGAGCCGGGGTGGAGGTCGGTGCAGGGCAGATGCAGAACCGGGTGAAGGACACAGCATTCTTTGAGTATTCTGTGCTATGAAACCACTGAAATAAAAAACTATGAACGGAAGATAACCAACTCACTTTTCTCACTTCCGTCGGTCTTTCCTTTTAATCCAGGAGGAGGTGAACTTAACGTTTCTTGAGGATCAAAAGATGTTATAAAATCTTCCACATCTTTCTCCTGTTCAGATAAGTAGACTTTTAAATGGTCATAAAATAATGAGTAATTACATCATAGAGCTGACTTTGCCAGCTGAAAACTTTCTGAGGCCTGAATTTATCATATTCCCACACAGACCCCAAATGAAACAACTCAAAACTGGTGAACACCTGGAGGTCGAATGCTTCCAGTAATTTGGATGATTCACCCACAGCTCTTCAGAAATATTTTAAAGCAGCCAATAGCAAATATTTCAGATTTAAATTGTTTTCCATGAAATGATAGTAAATGTTTCAGATAATATCTATCTGCTGAATTATTTTTTGAGGCAGGGTCTCACTCTGTCACCCAGGCTAGAGTGCAGTGGTTTGATCTCAGCTCACTGCATCCTCAACCTCCCCCGGTCAAGTGATCCTCCTGCCTAGCCTCCTGAGGAGCTGGGACCATGGGTGGCACCAGCACGCTCAGCTGATTTTTTGTGTTTTTTTTTGTAGAGATGGGCTCTCACCATGTTACCCAGGCTGGTCTCAAACTCCTGGGCTCAAGCAATCCTCCTACCTTGGCCTCCCAGAGTGCTGGGATTGCAAGAGTAAGCCCAGCTGTACACAATTTTTTATTTTATCTTACTCAAGATAGACAAAATCCCAAAATGATGTTAGAAATAATTGATCTGCCAGGCGCGGTGGCTCAAGCCTGTAATCCCAGCACTTTGGGAGGCCGAGGCGGGTGGATCACGAGGTCAAGAGATCGAGACCATCCTGGTCAACATAGTGAAACCCCGTCTCTACTAAAAATACAAAAAATTAGCTGGGCATGGTGGCACGTGCCTGTAATCCCAGCTACTCAGGAGGCTGAGGCAGGAGAACTGCCTGAACCCAGGAGGCGGAGGTTGCGGTGAGCCGAGATCGCGCCATTGCACTCCAGCCTGGGTAACAAGAGCAAAACTCTGTCTCAAAAAAAAAAAAAAAAAAAAAAAAGAAATAATTGATCTAACTCAAAAATTATTAAAATTAATCAGCATATGTGAAACCTGTTAAAAATATGAAGCATTCCTGGGTGGGCGCGGTGGCTCATGCCTGTAATCTCAGCACTTTGGGAGGCAGAGGCGGGTGGATCACCTGAGGTCAGGAGTTCGAGACCAGCCTGGCCAACATGGTGAAACCCTGTCTCTACTAAAAATACAAAAATTAGCCAGGCGTGGTGGCGTGCGTCTGTAATCCCAGCTACTCAGGACGCTGAGACAGGAGAATCACTTGAATCCAGGGGGCAGAGACTGCAGTTAGCTGAGATGGCGCCACTGAACTCCAGCCTGGGCGACAGAGCAAGACTCTGTCTTGAAAACAAAACAAAACAAAGCAAACGAACGAAAATAATTTGAAGCATTTCTAAAAATACATCTAAGAAAACATTCTGGACAAAGAACCCTATGCCCATCACACAGGAGATGTGTCTGTGGCTGTGCCTCCTGCAGTCAGCGTCAGTGGAGAAGCATGCCCAGGGTAAGTCTGAGGTGGGAAAATGCATCTCAGGTATTTTAAAAAATACCTGAACAACTGAAATAATCTGAACGCTCCCATGACGCCAGTCCTGAGAGCTGGCCCCACACAGGACTGTGAGGCCGTGTGCTGTCAGACAGTGAACACACAATGGCAGCTGCCAGTGATGCTGGACAGGCCACATTCCCCCCAAGAACACCAGACCTGGGCACAGGGCAGGCACCTACCACAGCCACCCTCTCCACATGGAGGTCATCTGGCGGAGACCCGGCCCACTTCGGGGCCAGCGCTGCTGCGGACACGCTTGGGTAACAAAGCAGCCCCGGCCCCTGGGCCTGCAGCAGCGAGGCGTCCGCCCTGTCCCGCGGGGAGGTGTCAGCACTACATAGGCTTAGGGCGCCTGAGTGGGGCGTCAGAGGGAGGCTTGGCTGGGGCTCCAAGGTCCAGTCCTTCCTGAGAACCTCAGGGGAGCTCCAGGAAGACAGGTCCAACATCCTGACCGGGCTCTTCGGGGGCCTGGCCTCCATTGCACGGCTCCGGAGGTGGAGGCTGCCAAGCAGGCTGGTGGGTGAAGAACGGGGCCCGTCCTGACATTCTGATTTTTCTTGAATGGGAGAATCTGGCACTTCATCTGGTATCAAAGAACCCTGATTTTTGATGACATCAGTTAGCTCCCCTGTGGCTGTACTGGCATCACACACATTGACAGGGGCTGATCTGTCTGGCTCTTCGCCATCATGGGAATCATCACTCCAGTGGCTCTCCAGCAGGTGTGCAGAGGCCACAAGCCGTGGAGATTTCATGTCAGCAGCGTCCACGTCCTGGAAAGTCATGGAATCCAGCAAACAGCTCAATTTTTCCTGGAGTCTTTTCACCTGAGCTATAAGGTCGCCCTTTGGCAGCTGACAATCTTCCGGCACCTTTTCCTGACTCTGCAGGTAAAACAGAACAGGCATGGGTGGAATACCTGGCTTACCAGGAGTCGCACTCGGCTGTCTGGTGTTGACCAGCGGATTAAGGGAGCTTCTGAGCACTCAGGGGTGAGGCTCCAAAGTGAGCCCAGCACACTTCAAGTTTATTTAATTCTGTGAGAAACAGAACCACGGTTTACATCTCTTTGCTTTATTAAAAGGCAACTATCATAACCTATTTCTGCAATGATTAAGGACACAAGCTTCGTACAATGGAAGAAGGATGGTAAGGTTCTATATTTGGACACTGAAAACACAAAACTGTGGTTTATGTGATGGATTTGGAGTTTGTGTGTAACTTCTAAGACTGGCAAACAGCTCAGGCAGGGCTGAGCTTAAGAATTCAAAGAAACGTTCCTGCCACAGGAGACATGAAGGGCTCTCTCTACACAGGACATATTTCCTGAGAGCATGTGAACCAGGTACAAGGCTCTCCTCAGAACTGCAAGCCTAGGCCCGTCCTTCCCTGACTTCCGTGGAATTCAGACTCTTTCAGGCTCTAAATGCCAATGAAGTGCATGCAGTATGGGCCAAGGAAAAGGCGGCACCTGCACTCACGCAAGAAATGTCCCAGCATCGTGCGGGACACTCACCAGGGCTGCGAAGGGCTCGGCTGAGCCCAGGTTTCAGCAGGCATTAGATCCACGCATACTTCCATACCACACTTGAGACCCCAAAACATCTGCCCAGCAATTCTGGTGTCAGAGCCTCTGGGTTTCAGAGCCTGCAGTAGTTGGGGCATGTTTAGCGATAGAAGGGACAGGGAGGAGGAGCAGCAGGGTGGGCGGCTGTGTCCAGGAAGAGGAGGAGGAGGAGGAGGAGGAGGGCGGGCAGCTGTGTGTCCAGGATGGCTATGTTGGGCCTTGGACTGGAGGAGGCGCCACTGGCCGGGCATGGTGGCTCACATCTGTAATTCTGGCAGTTTGGGAGCCCTACGTGAGCAGATCACCTGAGGTCAGGAGTTTGAGACCAGTCTGGCCAACATGGTAAAACCCCATCTTTACTAAAACTACAAAAAAATTAGCTGGGTGTGGTAGCATGTGTCTGTAACCTCAGTTACTGGGGAGGCTGAGGCTGGAGAATCACTTGAACCCAGGAGGCAGAGACTGTAGTGAGCCGAGATTGCAACACTGCACTCCAGCCTGGGCAACAAAGCAAGACCCTGTCTCAAAAAAAAAAAGAGAAAAGAAGAAAGGCGCCATCCGTACCTGACGCACCCCCAGGAGAGGGCAGCCTCCTCGAAGGAGCTTCTGACGGGGTGCTGGAGACTCGCACCTGGAGCACCGGGTGGGAGAAGCACCAGTACCAGCTCTTCTCGCTAAAGGTCAACCCTGCTACGATTTGAGGTTGTCAAGGTGCAACCTCCTTTGCTGGGGGAAAGAAGCTGAGCTTTTTTTCGAGTGACAATATAGAGGGAAATGAACAGATTAAAAAAATAAATCTGAAGCCTGTTAAAGTAAAACCGATGCTGGCCATCAAAGTCCTGAGCTGAGGTGAGCCCCATGGCAATGTGGTCCTCACATGAAAAGAAAACCCCAGGACTAACCCTGGAACAAGTTAAATCCATTTGTATCAATTACAAGAAACCAACTGTTTCTAGAAAGTGGCTTAAATGAAGCACGCGGGAAAGTTCACGACAGTTATGGACAGCTCATCGGAACATGTCACTGCTGGCACAGACTGCGCTCCTCACCTCAGCAGAATGCCCAGCTCTGCCCAGGGCAGGACTCACGTGTTCTGTACTCAGCCTCTCCCGGGTCGCCCGCACACCTCCCCTCGTCCCCACACCTCGACACCATGTGTCCAGCCTCTCCCGGGTCGCCCGCACACCTCCCCTCGTCCCCACACCTCGACACCATGTGTCCAGCCTCTCCCGGGTCGCCCGCACACCTCCCCTTGTCCCCACACCTCGACACCATGTGTCCAGCCTCTCCCGGGTCGCCCGCACACCTCCCCTCGTCCCCACACCTCGACACCATGTGTTCAGCCTCTCCCGGGTCGCCCGCACACCTCCCCTTGTCCCCACACCTTGCCGCCATCCTCCAGACTCAGGCACATTTCATTTTTCACCAAGAGCAGCTCCGCCTGCAGCTGCCTCTGACAGACGCTGAGCACCGACATCATGCCTTCTTGCTTGCAGAGAGGTGTGTCCTTCAACGTCACCAGGATGGGCTGCAGATCACCCTTGACAAAGGAGACAGAGGAAAGCTGAGCATGCAGGAGGCTACTGCAGGGGCTGCTCCTAGGTGGCCTGGAGCTGGGAGCCGCTCCAGCAGCCAGCAGGGATGTCAGAGGGAGGTGGCAGTGCTATCAGCAGCAGAGCACCTTGATCCCAGCAAGCCACACGGAAACAGGGCTGAGGACCCAGCAGAAGCTGCCCCAACCCAGGGTGGCCCCACAGAGCAAGGCGGACTGGGGCATCTGAGAGCTGGAGCCACTCTACAAAGACCCCAGCAGGCATGGGGGTGGTAGGCAGCATGTCCCCAAGGCTCTGCTCAAACACAAGTGGGAGCCTTAGAAGATGACTCCTGCAGGGCCTCCAGCTCCAACGATATCTCACACAGGCAATGCTATCGACCCGCAAACCATTCCATCAGAAACCAGGGAGGGAACTCAAGCAGGACCGCCTCTCACAGTGAGCTCCTTTCACGGGACGGTCCCCAGCACGTTAAAGAAAAAATTGTTTTTTTATTTGTTTGTTTGAGATGGAGTCTCACTCTGTTGTGCAGGATGGAGTGCAGTGGCATGATCTCGGCTCACTGCAACCTCTGCCATCCAGGTTCGAGCGATTCTCCTGCCTCAGCCTCCCAAGTAGCTGGGATTACAGGCACCTGCCATTGCACCTAGCTAATTTTTGTAGTTTTTAGTAGAGATGGGGTTTCACCATGTTGGCCAGGATGGTCTTAAACTCCTGACCTCGTGACCCACCTGCAGCCTCAGCCTCCCAAAGTGCTGAGATTACAGGCATGAGCCACCACGCCCTACAGGAAGAATTATTTTTAAAAACTTAAAACGATAAGCTTAAAATGGTACAAAACAGTGAAAGCCTCAGCCCAGCTTCACTGCGTAATGACCCTGAGCCGGCCTAGGCTGGCCTGAGCTTCAGGCTCCTTTCTCTGCTATACCATGAAAGGAGACAACCACCCAGTGCCAACCGCCCAGTGCCCAGCACAGAAAGAAGTCATTAAAATTAAAGCAGAAAAGGAGTAAGAGTTAAAAAACAAACAAACAAAAAACCCTGCCATGGCCCGCAGGGGAGCCTACCCGTGGGTTGGGGACAGCTGGCTCCAAGGCAGCATCATGGGCGGCCTCCACGTCACCGTCCGCGCAAGGCTGCGGGTGCACCCCGGGCACCCCAGTGTGAGCTGCGGCGCCGCAGGCCTGCTGCTTGTCCAGCTCCACCCAGCACCTCAGGAACCGCTGGTGCAGCACCTGCAGCTGGCGGCCGAGATGGGCGCACTGTGCTCGGAGCCGCTGCAGCTCGGGGGGCTCCGCCAGGGCTGTCAGGGGCTGCTGCTCCAGGGCGCGGCGGAGGTGGGCCAAGGCTGACAGGATGGCCTCCAGCTCAGCAGAGTGGGCCACCTTCCGCTGGTTCAGAGCGTGGATTTCTAAATCCCTCTCGGCAATCATCACTTCCTTCGCTCTCAGCGCTGCTTCAAACTCCTGGATCCTGGAGGCCATGCCTTCGGCCTCAGCTTCCCTGAGAGCTGCACTGCGCTCCAGCTCAGCCAGCTGCCGCTCCGCAGCCTCCTCTGCACCCTGGAGGCGCCGCTGCAGGGCCTGCAGGGCCTGGCTGTACCGGTGCTCCTGCTCAGCCAGCAGCCGGCTCATGGCATCCTTGGCTTCAAGCGCAGCCTCGAGCCTGCCCTGCAGCGCCTGCCCGACAGGGCCCCCAGCCTGGGAGCAGAGCAGCTCACTCTGCAGACTGCCAGCCTGACTGTGGCTGACTTCGTGCAACTCGGGCCCCATGAGGGACAGCTCCTGCTGCAGCTTCTCAATGACTTCATGGAGTTGTTCAATTTCTTCTGCTTTCTCCTTTTGTAATCGTTTTTGGTTCTCCTGCAGATTTTCGATAGTGGCTTTCAGCTCTTCAATCTCAGAGCTTCTGGTATATGTGACCTGAAGACAGAGCACATTTCAGAGGTAAATTAAATGTGTCCACTTTAGAACATCCCTCCTTCAGGACACGTTACATCCTGAAGGCATTCCTGGAGTACAGACTGGACAGCTTGAAAAACAAAGCAGTCACGGAAGGAAACTGCCAGCATCTGAACTCCCCACGTCCGCCTGGCTGCTCCGGGGCCCTGGTGCCCACCTCGTGCTCCACGCCTGATGGTGGGATGAAGCTCTAAAGCGGCCACTTTCCCTGTAAGGATGTGTACAGAATGAGGCTTTCACCACCCTTTAAATGTGATTTTGTTAATATTTAAACAACATTTTGTTTGACTTTCCTGAAGGAACACTAGATTTTAGGTGTCATTCTAACATCAAAGTTTGTTTACTTGTGATGTAAAACATAATCCTCAGCCATTGTAAGGAAATATGACTGTTTCCACTTTAAAGGGGTGAAAACTGAAACTAAGATATTAAACATCTTTCTAAACCTACAAAAATAGTAAGTGCAAAATCAGGATTGAGATCTATGTCAATATAGCTCCAAACTCTATTTTCTTAAGATAACATTACTGGTAATGATAAAAAATAGAAAAATTCTAACCCATTTGTGTTCTAACAATTTTAAATCAATTTGTTATAGCCTGGAGGAGGTTCTTGACGCCCTCTCTGCAGAAGATACTACGAAGCCAGAGGCAGCCGTGTCTGAAATGGAGGTTAATACAGATATTACACTGATTCCTCCACCTACTCCTGAGCCTTCCACTCCGTCTGTGACTGCTTATGATGATTTAATGTGCGAATTACAAACTACTCGCTGGCAAAGCTCCGCTGAACCCTCAATGCAACCACTATTATGGCCTGAACCTTCTGTTCTCTCTCAGCCTTGCTGCAGGGCTCCCAATCATCCATCTAAGCAGCCCGGTAATGAGGCTCTCAACCCCATCCCTGTTCAGCCTGGCTGTTGGGCTCTCAACTCTGTCCTGTCTCTTCCTTCCACGCATCAGTCTCCTCGGAAAGCCTGCTCTGCAGTCAGTCGGTCAGCCAGTGTTCAGGCCCCGGAAGGACCTGCGCCGCGGGCAGCCGGTTCACAGCCTGGTCCACGGGCCTCGGAAGTACCTGCACCGCGGGCAGCGGTTCACAGCCTGGTCCACGGGCCCCGGAAGGACCTGCACCGCGGGCAGCGGTTCACAGCCTGGTCCACGGGCCTCGGAAAGACCTGCACCACGGGCAGCGGTTCACAGATTGGTCCACGGACCTCGGAAAGACCTGCACCGCGGGCAGCCGGTTCACAGCCTGGTCCACGGGCCCCGGAAAGACCTGCACCGCGGGCAGCCGGTTCACAGCCTGGTCCATGGGCCCCGGAAGGACCTGCACCGCGGGCAGCCGGTTCACAGCCTGGTCCACGGACCTCAGAAGGACCTGCACCGCGGGCAGCGGTTCACAGCCTGGTCCACGGGCCCCGGAAGGACCTGCACCGCGGGCAGCGGTTCACAGCCTGGTCCACGGACCTCGGAAAGACCTGCACCGCGGGCAGCGGTTCACAGCCTGGTCCACGGGCCCCGGAAAGACCTGCACCGCGGGCAGCCGGTTCACAGCCTGGTCCACGGGTCCTCGGAAGGACCTGCACCGCGGGCAGCGGTTCACAGCCTGGTCCACGGGCCCCGGAAAGACCTGCACCGCGGGCAGCGGTTCACAGCCTGGTCCACGGGCCCCAGAAGGACCTGCACCGCGGGCAGCGGTTCACAGCCTGGTCCACGGGCCCCGGAAAGACCTGCACCGCGGGCAGCGGTTCACAGCCTGGTCCACGGGCCCCGGAAGGACCTGCACCGCGGGCAGCGGTTCACAGCCTGGTCCACGGGCCCCGGAAAGACCTGCACCGCGGGCAGCCGGTTCACAGCCTGGTCCACGGGCCCCGGAAGGACCTGCACCGCGGGCAGCGGTTCACAGCCTGGTCCACGGACCTCGGAAGGACCTGCACCGCGGGCAGCCGGTTCACAGCCTGGTCCACGGGCCCCGGAGAGACCTGCACCGCGGACAGCCGGTTCACAGCCTGGTCCACGGACCTCGGAAAGGACCTGCACCGCGGGCAGCCGGTTCACAGCCTGGTCCACGGGCCCCGGAAAGACCTGCACCGCGGGCAGCGGTTCACAGCCTGGTCCACGGGCCCCGGAAGGACCTGCACCGCGGGCAGCGGTTCACAGCCTGGTCCACGGGCCCCGGAGAGACCTGCACCGCGGGCAGCGGTTCACAGCCTGGTCCACGGGCCCCGGAAGGACCTGCACCGCGGGCAGCGGTTCACAGCCTGGTCCACGGGCCCCGGAAGGACCTGCACCGCGGGCAGCGGTTCACAGCCTGGTCCACGGGCCCCGGAAGGACCTGCACCGCGGGCAGCCGGTTCACAGCCTGGTCCACGGGCCCCGGAAAGACCTGCACCGCGGGCAGCCGGTTCACAGCCTGGTCCACGGACCTCGGAAGGACCTGCACCGCGGGCAGCGGTTCACAGCCTGGTCCACGGGCCCCGGAAGAGACCTGCACCGCGGGCAGCGGTTCACAGCCTGGTCCACGGGCCCCGGAAGGACCTGCACCGCGGGCAGCGGTTCACAGCCTGGTCCACGGGCCCCGGAAGGACCTGCACCGCGGGCAGCGGTTCACAGCCTGGTCCACGGGCCCCGGAAAGACCTGCACCGCGGGCAGCCGGTTCACAGCCTGGTCCACGGGCCCCGGAAAGACCTGCACCGCGGGCAGCCGGTTCACAGCCTGGTCCACGGACCTCGGAAGGACCTGCACCGCGGGCAGCCGGTTCACAGCCTGGTCCACGGGCCCCGGAGAGACCTGCACCGCGGACAGCCGGTTCACAGCCTGGTCCACGGACCTCGGAAGGACCTGCACCGCGGGCAGCCGGTTCACAGCCTGGTCCACGGGCCCCGGAAAGACCTGCACCGCGGGCAGCGGTTCACAGCCTGGTCCACGGGCCCCGGAAGGACCTGCACCGCGGGCAGCGGTTCACAGCCTGGTCCACGGGCCCCGGAGAGACCTGCACCGCGGGCAGCGGTTCACAGCCTGGTCCACGGACCTCGGAGAGACCTGCACCGCGGGCAGCGGTTCACAGCCTGGTCCACGGGCCCCGGAAGGACCTGCACCGCGGGCAGCGGTTCACAGCCTGGTCCACGGGCCCCGGAAGGACCTGCACCGCGGGCAGCGGTTCACAGCCTGGTCCACGGGCCCCGGAAGGACCTGCACCGCGGGCAGCGGTTCACAGCCTGGTCCACGGGCCCCGGAAGGACCTGCACCGCGGGCAGCCGGTTCACAGCCTGGTCCACGGGCCTCGGAAGGACCTGCACCGCGGGCAGCGGTTCACAGCCTGGTCCACGGGCCCCGGAAGGACCTGCACCACGGGCAGCCACGTGGTAGCCTGGCTTGCAGGCTGTCAACCTTTCCTCTCATCGTTCCAATTTCCTTCCTGTTTCTGGTCCGGCCACAACTGCGGTTGTCACATACATTGGCGAGGATGATAGGCCACTTATGGGAGTGATTCCTCAAGCCCGTGAACATGGTGACTCTGAGGCACTGCACTTTCCAGTACTTTTCCAGCCCCCTATGCCTGCCACTCCAGTCCCTGCCCCCCCTGGCATCCAGCTGCTGCTCTTGCTCAACAAGCCAACAGTATTGACACACCTCAGGACGTATGGCCTGTGCCTCGGCAGCCTGTTGCCACTGTACTGCTGCCCCTGGTATTCCTGCCGCACAGGCTACCATCCAGCCAGATCCTCTCAATCCAGGCCAGCTTCAGCTACATGTGGCAAATTTGAAAAGCTTTCCTTTCAAATTTCTTAAAGCTCTTAAAGAAGCAGTCAAACAATGTGGCACTAATTCTCCTGTTGTCCGCTCCACTCTAAAAGCTTTGGCAGAGGACAAACGTCTGGTGCCAGATGACTGGGACTGTTGCGGCAAAGCGGTCTGAACACAATCTCAGTGTCTGCAGTTCAGAGACTGGTGGGCCAATGCTGTTCAGGAGCATGTCTGTAGAAACCAGGGAGCTAATCCTCCTACCAACATCTCAGAGAATCAGGGTCCTGTCTGGGTGCCCTAACTGTGTCCTGGCCCCAAGCCCAGAGACTCCAGAAGCAAAAGAGGAAGGCTCGCCCCTCCAACACGCAGACTTCAGAATCTGACCATCTCATCACCGCCTGGCCCTCTGATTCCTAATACTACGAATTCCAGACCACCTTCGTGGGGTCAAATTAAGACAATGTCTGACTAGGTAGGAAACTTTTTGCAGGAGAAAGGAATTCCAAGAACTACTCATACTCTTATCTTAGCTGCTGTTATGGGTTAAGCATACCCAGCTCATGGTCCTTTTCCCCGGCTAATCCGACCTATTTCATGGTCGGACTCCTCAGTGGAGGTCTATTCTAATAACAGTGCCTTCATGCCAGCCCCTAATGGTAACAGATTCCATGCTTAACCAGAAGAAGAAGGAATGATCTTTCATTTGTCTATTGGGTATAAATTTCAACCACTGTGTACAGGAAATGCTCCTGGGTGTTTGCTAACCAAAATTGGATATGGACTGTGCCACCCGCAAGTAGCACCTCCTATCAAGGGGTGCGCACTAAAAACAGTCACAATCACAACGCAAATACTGCGTTAAAATACTGGAGCCAGCACACTGTGGTAGCTCTAAATGTAAAACACTAAAACCTAAAATCAGTGGCCTGAGGCCGGATGTGGTGGCTTAGGCCTGTAATCCCAGCACTTTGGAAGGCTGAGGCAGGTAGATCACTTGAGCTCAGGAGTTCAAGACCAGCCTGGCCAACATGGTGAAACCTGGTCTCTAGTAAAAACACAAAAATTAGCTGGGCGTGGTGGCAGGTATCTGTGGTCCCAGCTTCAGGAGGCTGAGGCAAGAGAATGGCTTAAACCCCAGAGGTGAAGATTGCAGTGAGCCAAGATCACACCACTGCACTCCAGCCTGGATGACAGAACAAGATCCTGTCTCAAAA